CTGCCACCTGTTTAAAAAATCTGCACTTTGTTTACCATGGCTAAGGTAGAACTTGTTGTTGGTCTCTTTTTAAAAGGTCCTGGTTCCCCAAGTTGTTCTTGTAATTTAGGTGGTTTATGAAAAGCATACAGAGAGGAAGGCTTCACTTTGAACACTACAGATTTTTGCATTGTCAGTTCACTGTGGATTGAGGAGGTCGAACTGAATTACTCCTTTGATGTCTCACCAAATGCAAAGCATCATTTTCTGTAGATGGAGTCCAGATTTTGGGGTCAGAAGCGGTTTTTGTCTAGGACTGAGCCATTGTTTTTGGCATTTAATATTCATATAGAGAATCCACTTTTCATCACGGGTGACAATTCTGTCCAAAAGTGGTTCACGTGCATTACGTGCCTGAAGAGACGAAGCAACATTCACATGTTGGAAACGATGATCATCGGAGAGTTCGTGAGGTACCCAAACACCTTCTTTATGCAGTTTTCCCATATTCCTTAGATGTTTACGTATTGTTTCATGAGAGACATGCAATTTCATGGCCATTTCACGAGTGTGTTGCCTTGGGTTACACTCAACAAGCATCTTCAGAGCATCAATATCAATTCCAACATGTCCGCTCATGTCATCACAGTTTTTAAGGCTCAAGTCACCTGAACGAAATTTGATAAACCATCACTGACACTTGCGAACGTTCAAAACATTTTCATAAACTTCTTTGATATTATTTGTGACTACAGAGGCATTGTTTCCATTCTTGTATTCAAAAAGCATTACGTATTGAATGTGTGTCTCATCGTGTGCCATCACTATAAGGGATTAGAGTATACTAAACTTTACACATTATATAGGCTACACTAACAAGATGTTTAGGCAGTTCGTTTAACTATTATACGTGACGTACGTTTTGTGGGGGTTGATTAATGAAAGGGTTTCAAAATGCAGCATTAATTTCTTGACGATCTAATATTTCTGGTTAAATAAGAATTGTTAAGTTTAAACTCTATTTATCAAACCTTAAGTGAGTTGGTTGAGGGAAAGATATCTTGATGGAAGAATAACTGTTAATCAATTCACACATCCAGTATACGGCAACCATCCAGTGTCTAATGCAAATACACACACTTGGTTTTGTGACTTTGATGTAAATAAAGATTATCCTTATTTTTTAGTGCACATTATGTCCAATCTCTCTATTTCTTAGCTTAATACTCAGTCCATTTAATTGTACTCCGACTTACTTTGCAATGTATACTGCATTAAGAACTACCTAATACTCTGAGAAAATCTGTAACCCTGTGAATACCTCAAGAAGATGTGAGAACACAGACAGCAATGGCATGGTGAATCTCCAAAATAATATTAATATAAGTTATTCAATCACTGTTAAACTCTGTTACCCCAGGGAAGAGAACTATCCATTTCTGGGTTACTTGATGTATCGTTTCATGCACTTTTTCTTGTTTTTATCCATGGTCAAATTATCGCTTATGATTAATTTGAATTTCTTAGAATATGTTTATTGATTATTTTTGTTTTCTTCATGCTTTTGACAATCTGAATTATCAATATAATAATGTTTGATATTAAAAAAAGAGAATAAAAAAATTTTATATTGTGATGAAATCTCATGTTATGTTGAAATATTTTAAGTGTTAAATCTTATGACATCTGGTAAAGCACGATGTGTTGATCAGTAGTTTATCAACAGATCAGGCTATGCCAGCCTTGTTGTTATGAGCCATAGGATTTTAAAATCCTCTGGTGCTTAACATCAAGGCTGCCCCATACATGATTGATATAACTAAACATTTCTGCTGAGGGTTTGTGTTGCATAAATCTAGCTAACTCAGTGAACTCTGGTAACGAGCAGAAGTCTTCTTTGACACGGATGTGCAGCACACAAAGTGTGTAGTTGTATTGCTATAATATTTTTCTTACTAG